CTTCCACAAGTCCATCATAGTTGCATCTGGTACTTTTGGTGACTCTCAAAAATTGACTAAATCTTCTAGAGCCTTGAGCATCATGTCCGGAAAATAGTTGGAGAACTTTCCTTTCCATTGTACCGGGATGGAGTTGCCATGAGTCTGGAAACTCTTTTACAATCCACACTCCATACCTCATGTGCCTCATCACTCATAATCCCCTTTGAGTAGAAACTCGGGATTTGAGTGTCCAGAATGTGCTCTAGGTAGCAATTTTGGAGGGTCTTTCGGAGTTCCTCTTCCCATTCCTTAAAGTTTACCAAGTTCAGAGAAATTGGCAACTTTTCGGGCAATTCCGGGAGCATAAGGTCGTTGACATTAGTTGAACACATGATTCTACAATTGAAAGAATTTGAAATAAAAAAACCATTCATTATACTTAAATAAGATTGAATTCATGCATTTTGATCAAACTTATTTAAAACGTCTTATTCACACATTAAAGATTGTCCCCATTTTAGGTGAGAATTAGTCGATTCCAAGATCCAAAGAAACAAAGAGTGGTTAAACATGCTTTGGCTTGTCTTAACACTCAATCTCCTAAGGTAAGCAACGCTTTGCTAATGGCTCCAAGCCACTCTTGGTTGAATAAATCGTCGCATCCAATGCTCTCTAAACAATTTATTCACTTTGCCACGACATGTTAGGACTCCATCACTCATATCGTTGAGTATAACCAAAACCACCTTGCATACCAGGTATGCCTTACGTTCCTTGGAGAAGTAGTGATGCCTCGCTTTGGCGTAGCCCACCACTACCCTCGTTCGGTTGGTAAGTGTGTTTTGGAATGGCAAGTTTTACTCAATAATTTAGGGACCTAGGGTTTCTATGTTGGTTGATTTAAGTGAACTTAATTATCATCTCAACATTCGAAATCCTAAACATGCATCTAACATATAATTCATATATATATATATATATATATATATATATATATATATATATATATATATATATATATATATATATATATATATATATATATATATATATATATATATATATATATATATAAACATAAATATATATCGAAAACATAAATAGAAATGCATTTGGCAACTAGCATGACCCCTTGAGATTTTCAAGTCTTCAAAAGGTCTTCATTTGCAACTTCATGGCTTTGTCTTCTAAGAACCCCGTCTTCAAGACTTGACCAAAATATTACAATTGCTAGTATCTACGATTAAGACTAATCTAAATATTAAGGTACAAAAATACTCAACGGTTCGCAGACCGTATTTAGATTTATAAAAATACATCCCGGATCACAGTCCGTATTTTCTATCCTAATCGGGCCCCACTAGTTGCCATTTCATAAAACCTGTGAGAGAATTTTACATTCCATTCATCCATTCACTATCTGTGAATGGCCCATGCATTTTACAACGATAAACAAGTAACAATGCATAAAACGCGCGAGAACTAGTAACTAATGTAGGTGGTTAATCCAATTAACACGCCTAATTAAACTAGTCAAAGTTGTTTTAACCGGTTATGGTAATAACTTAGAGACGCTCCCACTTAATTCCGCATCCAACTTAACTAATCCAATTAATTAAGTCGGTGAACCCAAATATTTGCCAAAATTAATTTTGCAAATGTCGCTCAAAACCCGAGGCCTAGCCTCAAAAATTTTAATTAAATAAACAAAATAATTAAAATAATTAAAACGAAAATTTAAGCAAAATTACGAATTCCAAAATGTCTAAGTGCCTAGCACTAAGACTTGGAGTCCAAAAAAAATACCCTTATTTACATATTAAGCAACGCTAAAATTAACTTTAAAATAGCATCGCCTTAATAACCCGGGGTTATTGTGCTAATTATGGGATTGTATGTACCGTACAACAAGCACGTAGTATGCCCATGCGCAACCCCGCAACACCAAGCATGCATGTGGGCTGCTTGTGCTCGCATGCGCTACGCTCAGCCCAGCCAAGTGTAGCAACACGCACAGCGCGCACAACATTACGCTGCTACTGCGCCATGTTGCTGCTTGCTGCTGGCTGGCGCGCTATGCTGCTGGCAACGAGCAGCAGCCCACGCCCTTCCTCGCACACACACACGCACAACACCAAGCACCTAAGAAAGGAGTGCCCAGCAGCCTCGGCAGCCACATATGGGTTGCGTGAGCAGCCCAGCTGGCCGAGAGATAGCTCTGGGCTCTTAGGCGTCGTGTTGCGTGCTAATGCTTCAAAAATTATCGATTTTTGAGTGTGAAATTATAAATCAATTCTAAATTAATTTTAGAATCAATTTTAAGCAAAAATGAAAATTACAAGTCCAACTTAAATAATTCATCCAAATGCAATTAACCAAATTTATTTTCAAGAACCATTCTTTAATAAAATTGGTTTAACTTGGTGTAATAAAATAAATTAGGGCAATTCTCACTATTAATTTAATCACTTTAAATTAATCTTGAGATTTTGACATAATAAAAGGGAGTTGGAAAAATGAACATAAGTTCAATAAAGACTCCAACTTTAATACTTGTGACTTCATGAAAAATTATATCTTCCAATATGAAGATAAACCAATTTCAATCACAAGTTTTAAACTTTATGATTCCAATCAACTAAAAAATGATTAAATCAACAAAGTTTAACCAAAATTCATGGAATTTAGTAACTCAAAGTTCAATCACTTATCATAAATAAAGATTGAATCTTTAGTACTTGGAAGCAACAAAGAACAACAATTTCACACTTAATGCAATTAATTTGCAATTATGTGAAAAATAAAACCAAACTTTCAAGCACCAATTACTACCAAGTAATCATACTTAAAGTGGTCTAAAATTGCATATAAATTAAGGAAAGAACCAAATACATAACCACCATAAATATGCAATCAATTTTCAAGGTTAGAAAGACTTAAAAATTTTCGTCAAAACGAAAAATCCCTCGAAAAATGCATTTCTGGTTGTTTTTTGGCTACAAACCGAGGCTTATAAGGGTAAAACCATTTCCAGAACGCCTTTCCCACCCAAAATTCACTATTTTTGGGTCAAAATCTGGGTTCGGGAGCTGAAGACAGCTCCAATTCGAGGTAAAAATTGGAAAAAACGAGTTACTAATCTAATTAGCAACTTAAAACCAGAAAAATTAAGCCATAAAAACACCTTGAAATATTATGATTTTAAAAATAAACAAGCGAGGCTCCGATACCGCTGTTGGGGTTTGATGACTCCGATTCACCCCGGAAACAAACCCAAAAACAAGACCGCACTCGCAATTAATAAAACCATAAACATAATTAAATTAATCACAAGATTAAGATAAGCTAATTACCTTTGACGCGTGCTTCGCTTCATAATGAGCTCTTACTTGAAAGCTTCAAGTCCCGCTCACACGGAGACCTCCAACGAAGTCCACCCGCACCAACAAAACCGACTAGGTCAAATGTCTTGGGGTTAGCAAGACCCGACCAATAAAACCCGAGTAATTATATTGAGTTCAATGGTTTTCACTAATTGTGATGCCTTTTCCAACTCTTACTCAAGCATCATTCCCAATGCCCATAATTGGGTATTTATAGGAAATGATGGGAGTATCATTTACTCTCCCATCAATGTGGGATAGTATGATTTTTTCCATTGTATTTTAAAGCTAAAATAAAATTAATAATCAAGCTGGTAATAAATCAACAAGTGGCAAGCTCATGTGAGTGGTTAGGTGAGGACCATTTGGAGAAGGGGGGGACCAAACTTGCTCCCCACTCCTTCTCCCATAACCAGCCACCTCACTCCACACACACTCAAGGACCACAAGCCACATGGCACCCACCCTTTGGCACCAAGGGAGCCAAGGTGGGCTGCCATGTGTTGTTGTCCATGGCAGCCACGCCCAACAAGCCCAGCAGGCCTAGCACTCGCATGCGGGCTGCCAGGCGCCGCTAGCCAGCAACCCAAGCATGCTTGTCTAAGTGCCTTGGCCTAGCCATGCTGCTGCTAGATGTGGCGAGCTGGCGCGCCTAGCGTGCTACCTGCTGCAGCTTGTTACGGCATGGCTTGCTAGCCATTGCGCGCACAAGGTTGTGCCTAGCATGCTAGCACGCACTAGGCAGCGCCTAGCCTTGCGATGCTAGCATGGGTGCGCTAGCACACACCAGCCAGCCTAGGCTCGGCTTGGTGCACATGCTAGCCACCATGCTAGGCCATACGCCCTTAGCACTCGGTTTGCTTGGGCATTCCGATGCTAGGGGTATTTTGGTCTTTTGTTGATTTATTACTATTTCTCGTCTCGTCTTTCACTATTTTTTTACTCGACTTCCGACTCTCGGTTTCGACGCTCTAAGCTCGAATTTTCGACATCTAAATAAATATTACTCGGTCGACTCATTAATTCCTTCCGAATTAATTCGTCGGTTCGGTTTGTCGAATGCTTGGGTGTGACCCGAAGGGTTCAGTCAAGATTAAGTTATAATATTAATTATTCATTAATATTACTGATCGGAAGCGGCCTCCACCCAGGCATTCCGATCACTTGACCTCACTGAATATATTAGCTTTCTAATAATTCCGAATCCACTAACGGAATAGTACACTTGTTCGAAGGACACCATTCCTTTCATTATTTGCATCGCTCCTTTATAAAGGAGCGACGTAAATAACTCTTATTTGTGTCACTCCTTTATAAAGGAGCGACGCTAATAGCTGGTCTGATCAACTTCTTGTTTGTTATTTGCGTCACTTATTTATATAGGAGTGACGCAAATGACTGACTAGAAAAATACAAAATTGCTTTATTTGCGTCACTTGTTTGTTTAATGAGTGACACAAATGAGGTGAATTTTTTTTAAAATTATAATAATTGCTTGTATATGTTTGTAGTACTTGTTTTCCTTGCTAGTGGTATAAAGTAATATGCTAACGCTAATAATTGAAATTAAAATGCAATATTATTGAATGCAAATGTAAATTTCGACAGAGTCTCCTTTGTATTTTGGCCTTGCCATAAAATTGGGAATGACGACATTATATTAACAACCTGTCCAATAATTTACATCTCAATATCACAGACATTATACTCATCATCCCAACACCAATCAACCAAAATCATTCATGTCAAGCCTATAATCAAAAACAAGAGTCCAACATGCGCTAAGTGTAAATCTAAAGTTCAACATTACATATAAAATACTCTGCCCAAATATCTCGAATCTCATTTATCTCCTCCTCGGTGTACGGTGTAGTTCTTGAAAAATCCTATTAACACAACAAATATACAAGAGGAAAGTTTTAATTCAAGATTGTAGCTAACATCAAATTGTATTTATCAAAAAAAAATGAAATATTTGACAACTCATACCTGAATAAGATCCTCACTGCTATGGTGATGTTCAAGTATTTCGTATATTGACAATGTGCTTGTGATGCCTTTGCTAACTTGCTGCCAAACCTGTATTCTGTTGAGATTACACTAATTAATGTTAAAACAGCATATAAGACACTAACCACACCAGGAATATAAAGTCCACGAGCAGCAACATCAGTGCAAAAAAGTATGCCTTTTTCTGCTTTGCTGAAGTCGTCAAATGTTGTAATTCTCTTGTTCTGATTTTGCTTCCCATAATAATCAAAGTAGTCAATCTGAATATATTTGAAGAGTTTTGAATGGAATTTTACTGACTTGCAGGAAGAAAAGAAAACCATAACTTTCTTAGTCAGATTCTTCTTCAGAAACGAATAGAGAAGGATAAGTCTCTTATCACTAGGAATAACACAATAGCCCTGCTGAAGTCCTTCATTTCTAACCTATGATAACCAGCATTGAATAAGTTTTTTCATCATATAAGAATGAAGGATGACAGGTACAAATAATGGAACCATCAATTTACAGTTTTCACTTACCTTAGTCCTCCCTTCGTCAACATCAATGTAGATAGGACTAGACTTGAATGACAAGCGTGCAAGGTCCTCCACCTACATACCAAGATTATTATATCACTAACTCAGCACATATACACATAATAGCCAATACTACTCAGTATCCCATCGCCCTCTCTCCCCTAAACCTGCCCCCTTTCCTGAGCAGAAATACGGTAGAAATTACAAGAAATTGACAGCTACTTTTTGAGTTTGGGTGGCTAAAAAAAGAGATGTTTGCTGTCCCTGTATGCCATAAAATTTTCAATCGAATAATTATTTCAGAAACTTCTTGGCCTTGACAAAGACATAAAAGAGCATAAAATTTGGAATAATTGTAGACACCCATTTGTGTCTCCCCAAAACCAAACCCAGTGATGAGTACCTTTTCCGTCGAATCATAATCAAATGAAGTGAAAGTGTGGAAAGTTAAGTGTTACGGATAGTTTTAATTTCTTTTCTCTTCTCTTTGTTTTTTAAAACTTATTTTAAGAAAACAACCAATACAGTTTGGTTGGTCCATGATATGCATCCAATAGTAGTGTAGTTGGATGGGGCTTGACAAGAGCTTTCCAACGATATATTATAAGGCCAATTCCGATGAATATTGAGGAAGTTATGGCCAATTTACTGAACTGAGCCCGTTTTGAGCCTTATATGCGGCCCAATGATCTAGAGGAGGGCCTAATATAGATTTATCATTCCTAATGCAATTAGGAATGGTCTTAGTCTTCTAGATTCTTCTAGAAGGTTCTTTTCATTCCTAATTCAATTAGCATTGATAAATTGACTGTTGTTGACTTTTTAGAGTTTTGATTAGAATCAAAGAGCATTATTGAGGAAAAATACGATTTTATCCTCCTATACGACAATTTCTATCTGATTTTAGGAAAAACGCGTGAATTTCCTGATCAGCGCCAAACGCCAGCTGTAGCGACTGGGGCTAGCATTGGCGCCTGGTACTAATGTTGGCGTCTGGCGCCAATAGCCAGTGTTGTCGCTAATCAGATTTTATCTGCGCCAGAACTCTGTTTTCATATTTTGTCTTTTTGGCTGATTTTCTTTATAAATAACGTGCTAAAAACTCCGTTTTCGATAACCAATTTTCATTCATCTACAATTCACTAATTCACCAATTCTCATCACGATTTTCTTGATTACTCTCTCTCTCTTTTTTCTAAACTAGCTTCTCTCAAATATAAAAATTCCGCATTCATTAGATCTAGAAACACCTAGCCATATTCGAAGTAGCCTTCGCCCTAGACGTGTGTTATTATTTAATTTAATTGCTTTAATTATTATTTTCGTTAAAGTTACTAACGTGTGTATTTTGTTATTAGAAAGAGGTACGAGGCATCTAAGTAAGTGCTTTAATTGTTTTACTGATATTTTGATATAGAAATCATGCTTAGGTTATTATTTTGATTCCTAGTATCATGTTTAGGATGTTTCTAGTATCATGTTAGAATGCTTTCTTTAGTATGATATTTAGGGTGATTTGCTTATATCAATTATGATTCCTGCGATGCTTCCTATTTTCTTTCCTAGTATTCATGTTAGTATCATGTTAGGGTTAAAGCTTTGATTTTTAATGTTTAGTGACATGCTAGGGTTTGTTATTAATCTTGTTAGTATCATGCCCAGGATCTTGCTATTATTATTGTTCTTTAACATGATTATTTTTATAATTGTTTTGATTATGATAATTATTATGATTATTATTATTATTATGATGATTATTTATTATGTTGCTTGATATATATTTTTATTGCTTGATCACGCCTTTTTTGCATGTTTAAAGGGAATTTGTACTTGTAATTATGCTTAATAAGATATTAATAATCTTGTTAGGGTTAATTTGATTATAATTCAAGTGATAGCCAATAATCGATTTATTTGTGCATTATATTCAACCAACATAAATAAACAGGTTTAGAGTTAATCCTATTGATTGTATGTTAGTCAGAAAGCGCACATGAATACGATCTGAATAAAGTAGAGGCCTATTATTAGGGTAGGTTCAATCTCTTTTAGGTTGGATTTGTACCTTCATACCCGAACCATATTTAGTTCAAGAACTTATGGAGTTGACGATCTCTTGGATCGTTACGGGGTGTAACCTTAACCTCGTGAACAGTTTACAAGTTCCTTAAAAAACTTGTTGGCGACTCTTTTGCTCTATCTTCTTTCCCTTTGGATGCCACCGTACTTTAGTGTATGATCACAGTGGGGTTCAAGCTAGGGGGTTAACGCTTGAAATATTCCCTACAGTTTGGCGACTCCACTGGGAGGATTTCTATTTTAATTCCTGAATTTGTTTCGGGAATGATTTAGAATGAGCGGATGAGACTCAAAACGTTCTAAGTATTTCATGTGCGTAATTTTGATTAACATTATTGTCATATGAATAAAAAATATCTCATTGGAAAGACCATCCATAATGAGTTAAAACATAGGATTTTACACGTAGGAAATTTGAGAAATATCTTTCACAACTAGGACCGAAATAACACTGCGCGAAACTGGAAAATTTTATCGAGCACAGAAAGCTGATGAGGCATGTAGGAATTAGCGTCAGCAACCAGAGTATTGGCGCCAGACATTTAACTGTAGTTCCAGGCGATAGGCTTGTCGCTAGGCGCTACACCTAAAACCTGGCGCCAATCTCTATTTGTTGGCGCCAAATTCTTCCAATACCGAGCCAGAAATATGCGTTCTAATTTCGACCAGTTTTTCGTATTGTTTGCTCGATCCTACTTCCTGATTGAGTTATTCTCACTTTTCTGAAAGTGTTCTACATATGGACATAACCCTCTGGGAATTCATGCTCTATTTACCCGATTGAACGCTCTGAGCAACAAAGGGTACATCCGAGAATGTTAAATTCACCAAACCATGGACGCGAGTTTTTCTAAACTCACGGTGTCCCATCCACTCGCGCCAATACTTCACGGTTAGGCTTCCGCGCGGTGTACTGTGGACCCTCTATTGACTAAACCATATCCCGAACTTTAGAGAACTAGAGCCATGGTTAGGTTGCAAACTCATTGCATCATATTGTGCCTACTTGACTAATTGTGCATTATTTGTTGTGCATATACTATGATTTCTTAATCGTTTGTTTGACTTGTGTTGAGATTTAATAAATTAATGACTTAAAGAACTTTGCCTAATTAATTAATTGATTAATTAATTTGAGTAAATAAAGTCTAATATTTTAATCAGAATTGACCTAGTACGACTTTAGGAATACCCCTGTTGATTAATAACACCGAAAACAGTCCCAGATTGAAGCTCCAGCATTGGCGCCAAATTCTGGACTGTAGCACCACTCTGTGGAGTGTGGCACCTGACGACTGCTCTGTCGTCTGGCGCTACACTACACAGTGCGACGCTAGTCCTGTCGATTTGCCGACAGTTCAGATTATTGATTAAGTCATCACCTAGTGTCTAATTAACCAGTTTGCTAATTAATTCGATTAAATTTCGCTGCCAATAATACTCTGTTGAGTCATTAATTGAGTCTAGTCACATAGTCTAACCACATGGTCATGACACGAGTCTTAACATGTCCCCTACACTCACTAGTCTTAGAACACACTTCGAGTATATGTCACCATGACCATGTCTTAGGCTCATGCATAAGTCGGTCTTTCCGTCATTTGAGTTGGGGGGTACATTCTACTCCTAATTCTTCATATCCCTCCATCTATATCATTTTTCTTCACATTCTATTCCAATATTTCATCACTTCCTCCATCCATTGCATGTTGAATAAAGTTTGAGTCAAACAATTAACAATAAATATCCCCAAATTCCTTTTCCACAGTACTTGGTCAAGGAGAGAAGGGCGATTAATCAAGGACAACCTCTTCATTCAAGTCTCACTTTTCGATAAACCAGTTCGTCAAAGGAGGAAGGCTAAAAAGATAATGGCAAGTCAAGAAGAGGTCAATGAACTTTGGAGTCAATTGAATGACGTGACTAAGTTGTTAAAGGCTTTAACCCTCAAAATTGACGACCCTGTGAAGCAACAACAAATGAACCTCATGCAAGAAAGCTTGAGCAAGCTATCTAGTGACTATAAATTTAAGGGCATTAGTTCACAAGGGGTCTTGCTGGACAAGGAACTTCTTCCGCATAAGTTCAACGCCACTGACATCCCTAAATTCAAGGCAACAGATAACCCTTACTTCCATCTAAGAGCTTTTGAAACTATAATGAGCATTAAAAGTATCGATAAGAAGGTTTTCCCCTCTTTGTTCCCACTATCTCTCAAGACCGTTTGCCAGCAATGGTTCTTTTCCCTTGACAAAGAAAAAACCTCTTCTTGGGAGTCGATAACAAGCGCTTTCATAGATAGATATAAGTGCAACATCCAAGACAAGACGGACTATAGACAACTTGAGATGTTAAAACAAAAAGAAAACAAAGGGTTCACGTCTTTCTTCAATAAATGGAGGGAAACTTCTGCTAATATGGTCAAG